AACAAATACTAAAACAATCAATACCAAACACAGGTTAGAAAATCATAGCAATAAAAGTTTCATCAAAATAAAATAATATAGAAGCACAAATTAACCATGTCCCTTTAGGGCAGATAAAACGAATTAAACACCAAAAGCCTGTTTAAAAAAGTGAGTTTTTAAAGTAGACTTAAAAACCGCTAGCTCAGTTATAGACCGGATCTCAGGCGATAATGAATTCCAGCGTCTAGGACCATTAGACAACAAACGAGTGGTCGTCCCATTTCTTAGATCAGGCCCATGGAACAACCAAGGACAAGTGCTCAGCGGAGCGCAGGGTTCGGCGCGGAGTGTATATTGATAACAGCTCTGATAGGTACGATGGGGCAAATAACATCTTAAAATCAACTCTCCATTTTACTGGCAACCAATGTAGTGAAAAAAGAACTGGAGTAATGTGGGCATACCTGGGAGTGTTCGACAACAACCGAGCAGCTGCATTTTGTACCAGTTGAAGTTTATGCAGCACAGCTTGGGACACACCAACATAAAGGGCGTTGCAATAATCTAATCGTGAAGTAATAAAAGCGTGGACTGCTTTTCCTAAGTCTCCACGTGATAAGAAGGGGTTCACCTTCGTTAAAATACGGAGGTGGAAAAAACTGGTCTTGAAGAAGTGATTTTTCCATTTATTGTGTTCCATAAGTCTCCCTCTCTCTGAATTTCATTATAAACGTAGGCTATGCACATTGGATGGTAAGGTTATTTAAAATAATTTACAAAAAAAAAAAAATACAGATTATTTTGCATTATGTTGTAAAACAGAGGTGGTGCAACCAGCTGGGAGACTTGGTGGCCCTGCCTAGGGAAATTTAGTTGGCACAGCTGAAGTGTCGAGATCAGCTGTCAGTGAGCCCTGAAAATGGCAAGTGGACAACATGGTTAGAGGATCCACCAGCGTGGTTTGGTCTGTTATGGATTTACTGAGAATTCACACTGAAAGCAAGAACAGCCATCTGTCTGTCAGCATGACAGACAACAGGCAGACAAACTGTCTTCACCATGATGACAAACAGCAAAAATCAAGAGTCAGAAGGAAAAAATAGACTTGAAGCTTAAAAAAAAAACTCAGTGGATCCTGTGGATCAACAGATTTGGGGGGGAAGAGGCAAAAACATTCTGAATCGAAATGAAAACTGATTCCAAATTGTGAATTTTGTGACTTGTTCGATCCTAGCGTTTATCATTGGTCAGTTAGCTTAACAGTATGATGATGATGTATTGTTGCTATGGTGACCTGCATCCAAATATTGACTAGGCTACCATTGGTTTATAATGGTGTTCAGACTGTTGACCAAAGTTATTTTCCTATGGTGCAAAATGTTTTATATCCATATAGAAATGGCAACTGGCCAATAACTGCATGAACAATATTAAGGCTGTCTGGTCTTAAGAGTACCTGGAGGTGTGTGGTTGGAGCCAGATGGCGCGGGAGCGATGGGTTTGTAACTCATGACGATGTCAGCAGTCAGCTCCCCGTACGACGCGCCACTTCCTTCAGTCCCGTCAACCCGGTGCTTATACAGCTTTACAGATGGTGATGAGCTCCTAAGAGCTGATGCAAAGAAAATACAGACAAACAAATAAATGAATATATTATCAAATTTATATTCATCCTCAGAAAAACTGGAATAGAGCTAAGGTTTGCAATTTCCAAAGCAGTAAATATTCACATTATTAGAACTAAGTATGGAACATTCAAGGACTGACTGTCATGAAGCATGATTATCTTGTAAAATGGTTGTGTTTCAGTGTTAAATTATGGAAGTAAGTCCCCGCCATAATGTTTGAAAGCGCTCTACTTCCATATTAAATTATCTATCTATTCCTGTAGTATTTAATGTTTTATGCATTCTATAAAGCCATTTCAATTGTCTTTATGGATGTATTAGATATACAAATCAACTTCCCTTGAATATGACCACAAGAATACTATATATTGTACCGTGTATATTATGTAAGTACACTTTGAGCTACAGTACTTTACTTGAGCATTTATATTTTGTACTAGTGGTGTTGTGCTTGAAGCAGATGACAACACATTTTGACCTGGCTTCACTACACAAAAAAATCACATGATCACCCTATCAAGCAAGGCTTCATTACATCACACTTGTGTCAGCCATTAGTGAGGTGTTGCACTGGTTTTCAATATTACATGAAATTCTCTGTATTTAAAAGCAGAGTCGCAGAATCAGTTTAAAAGTGATCCCTTTTTATAATACTTCCTTTATTAAATTAAAAAATAATAAAAGCATTAGGACCACTTGTATTCTGATTAAGTGTGTATTGTCAAATTTATTCCACTCATACAAATGCAGTATCGGAGTTTGGATTTCTGACTGTCTAATACTTCGAAACTCAACCATTTTCAACACAATTGCTTCAGAGGGATTCGGTGTTTCAGAAAGCCTTGGTGTATCCATCACTACTTTGTACTCCTACACCACTACATTTCATAGGGAAATATTTTATGTATTACTCAGTTTCATTCATTTGATACTACTGATAGTTGCAGTTACCTTTCAGATAAAGATTTTACTTTAACATCATTTGATAAGCTTGTAAAAATACAATGTACAACCTTCAAAACTGTGTGTACAGTGTACACCCCCCCAAAGATTAGGAACCACTGGACTACACTACTAAAATGTAAATAAAACAGCTCCACCTTAACCAGCTACAGTAAAGTTACAGTACAGTAAGATGCTCCATACAAACTGGTGCATCAGTATTAACAAACTTGAATCGACTATCAGTCACAGGGGACATAAGTATTTAGTTTTTGATACTTTAAGTGCATTTTACTGGTAACAGTTAATTAAATACAGAAGTTCTATTTAAAATATAGCATTTTTTATACATTATTGGTACTTCCAACACAGTTTATATACGCTGTACCTAGTCAGTTTTGTGTGTTCAGGAATACAAACGCCTTTCAGGGTGCTCAAAGGAATAAGAGCGTAGCCAGAGGTGCTGGATGTAACAAAAGCTGACGTTAGCTTTATAGGAAGGTGCCAAGCCAACCACTACATGGTAACATTAGCTGGATTAGCTAGCTCTCGCCGGTTAGCATAACAACAAAAGAAAACAAGAGAGCCGCGGCGCAGCGTTGATATTCTACATATAGACAGTGACAGATAACACAGACATCTACACGTGTGACCACCAAGAGGCTTTCAAAACAGTTGTGTTTTTTTACCTTTTTTAGAGAGACTAGAAATCCTCTTTAACACGCGAGTGCTGCTCTTCCTCTATATGGGAGTCTGCGCAGAAGACAAGCGTAGTGTAGTACTGTTTTTTTTTGTTTTTTTTTTTAACTTTTAGAGCGATATGATTGGCTGGTGGAGGGCGAACTCTATTACGTCAGTTTAAAACGTCATCAGACGATTCACTAGAACACATTTTCCATCGGTATAAATGAATAAAATAGAATGTATAAAACGGTATATTTTGCAAGCAATGCCTCTTTGGGTTTGAGACTTTTTTTATTTGTGTGTTTTTTGCTTAATATGCAAACAAATATCTGCTTTTGCTTGCTAATTTACATAATTGTTACATACCTTGCTCATGCAAAGTGTTTAGCTCCGACAGATGAGTGTAGACAGTTCATAGACTTACCCCTTCACCCACAACCTCACACCAGTGGCTGCAAAGCTGTCTTGCAATCATTCACAGACACACACAAGGGCATTGGCCACCACTAGCAATTTGGGGTTTAGTGTCTTGCCCAAGGACACTTCAGTAGGTGGACTGGAGAAACCGGGATCAAACCGCCAACCCTATGGATAAGGGATGACCCACTGTACCTCCTAAATCACTACTGCAAATACATTTAGGCCTACTCTAGGTGATTAGCAGTGTAGTTGAGTAGAATTTTGAGGCACTCCTAATTTACTCTAGTATTTCTATTATTCTGTACCTAATTCTTCTATGCCACTAAATGTCAGAGAGAAATGTTGTAGCTTACTTTTTACTTCACTACACTTGTGTGGGGAAAATGTACAGGTCAGACATGTGTCACAGATACTTTATGTAATTCCTTATGATTCCAGTGAATTATGATTCACATACAGTATGTTCTGTCTAGGGAACAGTGAGCTCCATCAGTAAGGAGGATTATGGGTATGTGTTTTGTGAGGTCTCAACTAGCAAACACAGTTTTGTGTGTGTATGGGGAAGCTGCCTTTAACTGGTTCAGAGTGGAGCCTCCCAAGGTCCTCTGTTCAGATAACAAGTGGGCTTAAGGTCTGTTGATTGGGAGCCGTGTCTGCAGTGTGATTTTGACATGCACCTCTGGGGGAAAGTTACCAAACAGTATATAATATAAAGTAAAAATAGTCCTACCTATACCAGCTGCAATATTTATTTATTTATACACTGATCAGGCATAATATTATGACCACCTGCCTAATAGTGTGTTGGTTCCACTTTTGCTCCCAAAACAGCCCTGACCCGTCAATGCATTGACTCCACAAGACGCCTGAAGGTGTGCTGTGGTATCTGGCACCAAGTTGTTAGCAGCAGATCCTTTAAGTCTTGTAAGTTGCGAGGTGGAGCCTCCATGGATCAGACGTGTTTGTCCAGTACATCCCACAGATACTCAATTGGATTGAGGTCTGGGGAATTTGGAGGCCAAGTCAACACCTCAAACTCGTTGTTCTGCTCCTCAAACCATTCCTAAAACATTTTTGCTTCGTGGCACGGCGCATTATCCTGCTGAAAGAAGCCACAGCTATCAGGGAATATTGTTTTTGTGAAAGGGTGTACATGGTCTGCAACAATGCTTAGGTAGGTGGTACATGTCAAAGTAACATCAACATGGATGGCAGGACACAAGGTTTCCCAGCAGAACATTGCCCAAAGCATCACACTGCCTCCACCAGCTTGCCTCCTTCCCATAGTACATCCTGGTGCCATGTGTTCCCCAGGTAAACGATGCACACGGCCATCCACGTGATGTAAAAGAAAACATGATTCATCAGGCCAAGCCACCTTCTTCAATTGCTCCGTGATCTAGTTCTGATGCTCACGTGGCCATTGTTGATGCTTTCGGTGGTGGACAAGGGTCAGCCAGGCACGTTGACTGGTCTACAGCTATGCAGCCCCATATACAACAAACTGTGATGCACTGTGCATTCTGACACCTTTCTATCAGAACCAGCGTTAATGCAATTTGAGCAACAGTAGCTCATCTGTTGGGTTGGACCACACAGGCCAGCCTTGGCTCCCGACATGCATCAATGGGCCTTGGTCGCCCATGACCTTGTCGCTGGTTCACCACTGTTCCTTCCTTGGACCACTTTTAATAGATACTGACCAATGCAGACTGGGAACACCCCACAAGAGCTGTAGTTTTGTAGATGCTCTGACCCAGTCATCTAGCCATCACAATTTGGCCCTTGTCAAACTCATTCAAATCCTTATGCTTGCCCATTTTTCCTGCTTCTAACACATCAACTTTGAGGACAAACTGTTCACTTGCTGCCTAATATATCCAACCCACTAATAGGTGCCATGATGAAGAGATAATCAGTGTTATTCACTTCACCTGTCAGTGGTCATAATGTTATGCCTGATCGGTGGATATATATACATATATGTGTGCGCGTGTGTGTGTGTGTGTAATATCATTGACAGTGTCTCTGTAGGAGACACTTCCCTCAAGCAGACATTTCCCTCAATTTCTATGCATTACAAGTATATGGCTCAAATCTTTGATGCAGGCAGCTTAAAAGCCTTCAAATATGCATCCTTATTAAAAACTAGAAAAATTCCATGGCTCTTTATTTCACGTTTCAGACAGTTCTCTTTGTTGAAAGCAAAGTAAAAAGAATTTATCATTTATTCATCTGACACAAAAATAGAAGGAAGTAGAAGGTCATAGAGACCCAGATGATGTTTTGCTATTATCCACGCCTGCTTGTAAGTAATGAAGATCAAATGATTTAAATCAACTGTCTAGTCTCCAGAGCAATGTAGCCAGTGCCCAGGACTGAATCATTGATAGAGTAGCTGTTTGTGGTGCTATCTGGTGTTTTGATTAGGGACCTATAGGGACCTGTTGTTCAGTGGTGTAGTACAATAATGCTGTGAAATAGTACATACAAAGTATAAATGAAGGGATAGAGGAAACAGTGGTAGCTGAACATGGCTCTATATGACCGTGCCAGGTTTTGAGTTGCAAATGAGTGGCAGATTCCTGAAACATTTGTCACTGCAGGAGCCTGGTCCTGACCAAATGACACTTGAAATAGCAAAAGGCTGAAAGGTGTGAGACACTAGTGTGTAAACAAATGTAGAGAACTTGTATATTCATGGTGCACACAGGTACATTGCTCTGCAACAAAACAGAAGAATGAGTCATTCACCAGGCTAAAGAATACACATCCTCTTTCATTAGTAATAGGAACTAAATGCAGAGCAAAGAGACAATGCTGCAAAGGATTTAGTGACAGAATTGAAACATGTATGTGAAATATGAAAAGATAGGAGCATATAAACAAGAACAGCATTGATAGGACACTTGGACCATATATGAGTCATACCATCAGAGAAAGGAAAAATGGAAAAATACTAGAAAACTGTGAAAAAAGATCAAATTTGTAAATGCTGAAGAAGTTTTCTTTTGCATTTAGAGGGAATGAAAAAAATGTAGGGCTGTAACATTAGAGTCCAGGGTTCGTATTCCAGGTTCCTGTCTGTGGTTAGGTTTAAGTAACAAAAATAGGTTAGGAAAAGATAATGGTTTTGGTTAAATTATAATGTAGTGTGCCTCAACTCACTGCATTTCTTTTATTACACCAGAACAAGACCTTTCCCTAACTTTCACCAAGTGCTGCCACTGCCTGAAGGCAATCATAACAAAGTACTGCAAGACTGAATATTTTTGTAGAAAACAAATGAAATATGTTGTGAGAGAACATTTTATTGTTATGTCCAATTGGTTAATGTTTTATCATCTGCCATTTACATTAACAACAAGAGAAATGTTGGTGTTGCAAAACATTTCTAGGATAAGATTTTCAATTGTTCAATTTTTTTCCCCACAAATTCCATGAAGAGACTAAAACTGACAATTTGTCTATGCTTTAGACCTCCACACATTATGAGGAAGTGTGTTTCTAGGAAGAAAATGGGAACAGAATTAGCTATGTTTTTAGAATCAGCGATAAAAAAAAAATCAACTGATAAGGAAATGGAAGATGTTGAGAATGACACTGGGAAATTAACTATAATGCTGTTTACACTGGACAAGGTGAGATTTGGTGGATAACCCTTAAAATGCCTTGCCACAGTGTTCATGAGGTTGAAAGTGGTTCTCCACAGAGCAGTGTTATCTGCTGTTTTTTGTTGAAAAGCCTGTCAGTACTGAGGCTTTTATCTTCGATAGCTGAAATGGATCGAGCAGAATCTCTTGCTTTAAATAGGCCTTTATCTGTTGTTCCCATATGGTTACTGAACCAAACCAAGATGTTTGTAGATTTCACCATTCTGGATGGCGTAGGAAAAATGGACTGGATGACGGTGAAATTTAAAACAAAGTAACAGTTGTAGGCCGATCAGTATTCAAATGTGGAGCAAAAGATGCAAATATAGAATGATAGTTTCACATGTCTCACCCAGAAGATGAACCACAGAAAAGACCCATAAAAGAATAGAAAAATAATCTGAAGTGTAGCTGCATAGAAGTATAAGGTATCATATAATGGATATACTCGAATAAAATACAAGAATATTGTACTTAGGAAGAGTACTTGAGTAAATTTACAGTAGTTATCTTCTACCAAATATACCAGAAGAGGAGCTTTGCAACTACAACCTTATGGCCATTAGCCTATGGAGGCTAAAGTTAGCTCAGTGCTGCATTATTGACCTCACTGAGTCCGTTGGCTCAATGATTCTTCTCTACTTGTGCTACTGTACCACTCCATGATGCAACTTCTTTTCTTCTGGCCATAGACGGTGTTGTTCAGCAAAAGTTACACATTCAGTTTAATGTCACTGGGAAATATCTGGAAAGCATAATGATATACTGTGATTAAAGTTCTGTGTTGGAAACTAGTCTCATCTGTAGCAAGATGAGACATCTTGGTTTAAATTATATCTCTTATGTTGTATATTCACTGAGTTGTAAATCTTCTTGTACATGCACCAGTTTTGGTTTAGTAACCTTAGATTACATTAGATGTCATTTTGAATAGGGATTATTAATGCACATTATCTAAAGGACGACTATGCATCTCTACAAACAGCGCTATTCTTTTGGATATGAGGTTGCTCACTCATAATATGCTGGTTTTAT